GTCTGGGCGACAGAGTGAGACTCCAACTCAATAAATAAATAAATAAATAAATAAATAAATAAATTTTAAAAATGGACAATTAAATGTTTTAATATACTCACAAAGTTGTGCAGCCATCATCACTAATTCCAGCACATTTCCATCATCCCAAAAAGAAACTCATCATGCCCATTAGCAGTCACTCCCCATTTCCCCTCATCCTAATTCCCAGAAACCACTTTCTTTTTTGTTTGTTTGTTTGTTTTGTTGTTGTTGTTGTTGTTTTGAGTTGGAGTCTCACTCAGTCACCCAGGCTGGAGTGCAGTGGCACAGTCATGGTCACCGCAACCTCGACCTGCTGGGCTGCAGTGATCTTTCTGTCTCAACCTTCCAAATAGCTGGAACCACAGGCTCGTGCCACCACGCCTGGCTAAGTTTTTAATTTTATTATTGTACAGATGGAGGTCTCACCAAGTTGCCCAGGCTGGTCTCGAACCCCTAAGTTCAGGCATTCCTCTCTCCTTGGCCTTTCAAAGTGCTAGGATTACAGGGTTGAGCCACTGTGCCCAGCCGCCAGAAACCTTTCTTTCTTTCTTTCTTTCTTTCTTTCTTTCTTTCTTTCTTTCTTTCTTTCTTTCTTTCTTTCTTTCTTTCTTTCTTTCTTTCTTTCTTTCTTTCTTTCTTTCTTTCTTTCTTTCTTTCTTTCTTTCTTTCTTTCTTTCTTTCTTTCTTTCTTTCTTTCTTTCTTTTACAGTGAGAAAGCAGGCTTTATTGAGAGGACAGAAAAGCTCCCACAGTGGGAGGGAACCCGAAGGGGTTGCCCAGAAACCACTTTCTAATGATTTTATCTAGGTAGATATTTTCTACATAGATAGATGAAGATAGTCTACTTTCTATCTCAATAGATTTGTCTATTCTGGACATTTCATATGAATAGAATCATAATACGTGGCCTTTTTGTCTGGCTTCTTTCATTAGCTTGATGTTTTCAAGATTCGGCCACATTGTATGTGTATCAAAGTTTTGTTCCTTTTTATGGCTGAATAATATTCCATTATATGGCTAGATCTCATTTCATTTATCTATCCATCCACTGACAAGCACTTTGGGTTGTTCCCACTTTTGACTCTTATGAATAATTCTGCTATACACATTCATGTGCCAGTTTTGTGTGGCCATATTATTATTTCTGTTGGGCAAGGTACTGATGCATGGAATTGATGGGTCATATAGTAACTGTGTGTTTAGCATTTTGAGGGCCCACCATACTGTATTCCACAGGAACTGTACCATCTACATTTCCATAAGCAATGTACAGGGGTTCCAATTTCTTCACATCCTCAACAACACATGTTAATCCCCCACTTTTTTTTGCCTAAAAATTGTTTTAGAGTAAGCCATCTTAGTGGATATCAATCAGTATCTACCTCACTGTGTTTTTTATTATTATTCTTTTTTTTGAGTTGGAATCTCACTCCGTGGCCCAGGCTGGAGCGCAGTGACACACTCACGGCCACCACAGCATTGACCTGCTGGGCTCTGGTGGTCCTTCCATCTCAGCCTTACAAGTAGTTGGAATTACAGGCATGTGCTACCATGCCCAGCTAATTTTTGATTTATTGTAGAGATGAGGTCTCGTCAAGTTGCCTGGGCTGGTCTTGAACCCGTAGGCTCAGGCAATCCACTTGCCTTGGCCTCCCAAAGTGCTGGGATTATAGGCTGAGCCACTGAGCCCAGCCAATATTATTATTTTTTATTTATGTATTGTAGAAACAATACTATTATTTATTTATTTATTTATTATAGAAAGGTCTCATCAAGTTGCCTGGGCTGGTCTCGAACCCGCGGACTAAGGCAATCCTTTTGCCTCGGCCTCCCAAAGTGCTGGGATTACAGGCTGAGCCACCGAACCCAGCCTTCACTGTGGTTTTAATCTGCATGTTCTTAATGGCCAATGGTTTTGAATATCTTTTCTTCATGCACAGAGAGCTGCAGTGAACACTATGCTAGGAAGTCACTTGCAGCCCAGCCTCCCTCCCTGCCTGGACCTGGCCTCCCTGATCATAGGAAAGCACTGGCTGAGCCTGAGCCAGCCCTCAAGCTGCCTCATGGGACTATACACACTTTGTCCCTGTCTGGGACCTTCTACTCGGTGGCCCTGGTGGCCCTGGCAGGAGGTGCTGGCACAAGGCCACCTGAAGCTCTGGGGTGCCCCATCTCCAAATGATGCCAAGTGAGGCAGGAGGGGCTCAGGAGGCTTTTTTGCCTCTTGTACCCTCCCGGGACCTCTCTCCGGAAACAGTGACCGGCAGACCCCAAGCGTGGCTGCTCCTGGGTCTGCAGGGTCCCTGAGGACACAGTCAGGACTCAATAGTCCCTCCCCAAAGTCTACAGACGGGGCCTGAGAGCTGTTCCCCTGGCTTGGGGTAGGCAAGGAAGCCACAGGAGAAGGAAGTACAACTTTTAATGGCCCTGGGACTTGGTGCATGCCCAGCCCCAGCTCAGGATCACTGCTCTCCCAGGGCCTGGATGCCGGAGCTCCAGGTGTGTCCCCAGCCCCAAGCTCCCTGATCAAGCATGAGCTCCAGATAAAAGCCCCCATCATGCCAGAGCAGCCACACAGGGGCTGCTGCGTCACTGGCTGTCAGCCCCCTTTCCAGGCATGTGGCTACGCTCTCTACTCTTTGCCCTCCTGGGCTTTCTCTCTGGGGCTGCCTTTTCCCACTCGACAGGCTGGCAGTTGCCAGGGAAGAGGACCCGCTTTGACCGTTCAGGGGATGTGATAATCGGGGGCAGCTTCTCCATCTTTTACTTCAATGACACCCTGTTTGATTTCACTGTGCCTCCTGCCACCTGGGTGTCTTCAAGGTGAGCGGTTTGGGGTGCTGGGGGCTCTGCAGGCCAGGCAGCTCCAGAGGCGTCCCCTAAGCTGCAGCTGTCACCCAGAATCCCTCCTTGAGGGCTAGGGATCTCCCAGTCTATTTGAATCATGGCCAGTCTGTCCCCACGCCCTGCCTCAGTACCTTGCTCTGTCCTTGCTGTCTTGTGTGTGGCTTCTTGGTGGACCCTGGTGGCTTCTTCATTGTCTAGGTTGCATGGACCCCACTGTGAGACATGGTCTTTTGTTTCCCTTGGGCACAGCCACTCCTTGGGGCTTAGAACAGAGCCAGGCCCAGGTAGGTGTGTTTGTTGAATGAATACATGTTTGCATAATGAGCACATCTCTTCATGAGATGCTCGGCCCTGGGGCTCCTTCCAGCCGATGTCTGTCCTGGGATTCCTGACCAATCTTTGCAGACAGGAGCTTCTGACATTTTCCTTTTGACAATTTTTTAAAAAATCAATATTTCTACCTTTATTTAAAAATGGCCCTAGTATTTCCCAAAGTTATGGTACTCTTTACATTCCCACCAGGAGTGCATGGGATTTCCAGGCATGCCACACTTTTGCCATCACCTGACATTGCCAGGTTATATTTCTAATTGATGAACAATAATTGTAGACATTTATGGCATACAATATGGCGTTTTGATGTGTATACGTCATGGAAGAATTAAATCAGGCTTATTAACATATCTATCACCTCACATATTTATTCTTTCAGTGATGCAAACATTGTTCTTTTTTTTTTTTTTGAGTTGGAGTGTCACTCAGACTGGAGTGCAGTGGCATGCTCCCGGCCACCGCAGCCTCGACCTGCTGGGCTCCGGCTATCCTTCTGCCTCGGCCTTCCAAGTAGCTGGAACTACAGGCGTGTGCTACCACGTCTGGCTAATTTTTTTTTGTATTTTTCAGCACAAAATATATATCAAAACCCCCAAGCTACAGGTTTAGCTTTATGAAAAACATATAACCCAGCTGGCAAAGTTAGTCCTTAACAATCCATTCCCAAACAGGTTTTTCAGATAAACATATACATCCCTAGTTAACTTTCTTATTTCTAAATTCTAACCACTGTCAGATAAAATAAGGCATAACCGTTTCCATGCTTTGTAGAACTTTTTTTCTTTCTTTTATGGGACTCCTTCAAGTTTCTAGAAATTCCTCTATGTCTTGGACATTTCTACTCCAGAGAAATGCACCTCAGAAGTATGTACGTTGGCTAACTGGCCTACCAGCAGATAAGTTCCAAGGCTGAAGTTGAGGGCGTGAATTTGAATCCTGGAATACTTTGAAGCTATCCAAGCCATGCATTTCCCATTCAAGTCCCCCACCAGGGGTCCGAACACTGTTGTCTAAGTCACTTTCCAGTGTGCTTCTCACTCAGATGTTGTTTTTCCTTGTTCTTCTCTCCAAGAATCTCCACTCATGTTAAAGATGCCAACCTTAACTTAGCTGGGTTGAATTAACCCAATATTTACAGCTATACAAATTGTGTAGGCTAAGTACATAAATGTGAAAAAGACTTAATTTAAATGAATAAGCTCTCCTCCCCACTAAATCACTATATGGCACCTCACAACCGGGCTCGGTGGCTCAGCCTGTAATCCCAGTGCTTTGGGAGGCTGAAGTGAGTGGATTGCCTGAGCCTGAGGGTTTGAGACCCACCTGGGCAACTTGGCAAGACCTCATCTATACATAAAATAAAAAAAAA